GCGCATGTGGTATTTTGAGTGTTTGCTGAAATGTGGTTCATGAGTGTATATGGTGTACTTTATATGTTTGTTTGCTGAAGTGTGGTTCATGAGTGTGTATGATGTACTTTATATGTTTGTTTGCTGAAGTGTGGTTCATGAGTGTGCATGGTGTACTTTATATGGTTGATTGCTGAAGTGTGGTTCATGAGTGTGCATGTGGTATTTTGAGTGGTTGCTGAAGTGTGGTTTATGAGTGCGCATGGTGTACTTTATATGTTTGTTTGCTTAAGTGTGGCTCATGAGTGTGCATGTGGTACTTATAGTGTTTGCTGAAGTGTGGTTCATCTGTTAGGTGCGACTGACGAGAGTACGTGCATCACCCAGACAACACTGATGGCCACTCATTGGCTGTGCATTCTCAGGAGCGATGAAACGATGTCCCAGAAATTCTATGCGTAAGAGTACAGTAACTCAGCGACTGCACTCCCCGGGGTACCGAACATCCCACTTGCCATGTGCGTCTTATCTGGCTATCATTCTACATGCTAACTTTGCCTTGGATTGTGCCCAAAAGACTATGCACACCATCTACCAGTACAGTGAGAGGTGTTGCGTTATTGGGTTTGTATTGCCAGGTGCGCCAGAACAAGTGCTACGGCCGCCCGCGTGTATTCTTGACTTACTCCAATGCTATCAAAGTCCAAACCCTAAACCCTAAGACATGTATGTCTAAATTTGTCTACGCTCAAATAGTGGTCAACTTTATAGCCACAGAGCGTGTGCAATACGCGCTTGCACGTACAGGGGCAGCCGTAGTTGGAGAGTGCGGCAGCAGTACACACTTAGAATCGACAGCCAAATGCACTAAGGGTATGCATATGACCAACGTATGCAAACCGTTTGCAAGGACAACGGCCTATATAATACAGGACATTCACTGATGGGGGACTGAAGAGGACAGGACAGTTCAGCCCTAGGGAGCAGACCTAGGACAGCCCTAACTCCCAACACCAGGACAGCCCTAGGGAGCAGACCTAGGACAGCCCTGGGCGAGACTTGTCAGATACAATAGAGAGAGAGAGAGGGAGAGTGCACACGCACGCACGCAGACAGGGTCACGTGCAGCGAAGTTTGCAATAGCGTGCAAACAACCATACAACCTTACAACCCACATACATTGACAGCTTTCTCCAGCGATCCCATATCCTTCACAGCCACCACAGCCCCTCCACTGCGCGGGATTGAGTTGACTGCCTGTCCTGCGTCTAACTTAACCAGTCGCATGTCTAGCTCAGCCGTGTGTGCGTGATCTAGCACACGCATAAGCACCTTAATGGGGATGTAGAGACGATCCATTTGGCATATGAGTGTGTCAGCATTTGTAGTCTGATAGCAGAGAAAATGAATGCGACACGTATATATATATATATATATAGGTGGAATATCAAGCAGGAGACGCCATACACTAGTGGTAGCCCCCAATAAAGATAGCGTTGTGTCACAAAGGTATACAAACACTGGCGGATGGGTGCCACGTGCAGTGTGTACTGTAAATTACATACAACACACACAGACGAGCAAACACACACACACACACACATATATATATAGCGACATATATATACGTACATACACGCACACGCATGCCAACCGCGCAAATCATATACTCCCACAATATACCCCAATATCCACACGATTCCACAGACTAACATCCACATGTACAGGTGTCTCCAGTACATACCTTGACCGCATAAACACACCTTAATAGCACTAACATACCTTGATAGCATTAGCGTGTTCCTTGTGGATGTCCACTCCCGAGTGCCCTCCCACACCATCGGTCACGTGCACGTGGACGAGTGTGTGCGACGGAGGAATGACCTCGCGTGTGATAGGCAGATGGAGACTCTTCTCAAAGCCTGGAGGTGCAGTTGAGTGGCACTATTATGTGAGCATGAACACTTGGGACAAAGTGCAGACACGCGACTGGTGCATGACTATGGTATTATTTGAGTATAATATCGTTGCTACTATGATATTATAAGACTATGGTTAGTATATCATATGACTATAATATTATATGACTATAATATCATTGCTACTATGATATTCTATGGCTAGTATATCATAAGACTATAATATCATATGACTGGTATATCATATGACTATAATATCATTGCTATTATGATATTATAAGACTATGGCTAGTATATCATGTGACTATAATATCATGACTAAAATGTCATGACTATAATATCATATGACTATAATATATTGTGACTATCATTTGACTATGATATCATCTGACTATGATATCATATGACTAAAATGTCAGATGACTATAATATCATATGACTATACTATCAATACTATACTATCAATACTATAATATCACATGACTATAATATCATACGACTGGTACATCATACGACTGCTACTGAGCATATATATAAACGTTAGGCACAGTCAGGCGGGCTCTCGCCCCTACTGCGATTGGGCACCGCATCAAACCAATCACATCCCTACGAGCCATCGGGTATGTAGACCCCCCAACATAGATTAGACTCATACAAGACGTACCAACACAGATCAATACGTTCCCGTACTAATTCCAAAACGGATTGAGCCCAACGCCACAGAGATCGTAAACATCAGATACAATACCACAGCCGTGCCGCTCACGGGGTGAGTGGTTCCAGAAATCTCATACGCTCGCGCAGTTGAGTGTCGCGACTTTAACACACACTTCAACTACCCACAACACAAGCACAGGGTATAGGTTTAGGGTCTAGGGTTTAGGAGAGAGACCTCCTGATAACCTCTGACCTGCGAGTGTTGAGTATACGTAGCAAGGATACATGCATTGCCACATACATGTATTAACACATACATGTATTAACACATACATGTATTAACACATACATGTATTAGCACATACATGTATTAACACATACATGTATTAACACATACATGTATTTACACATATATATATTAACACATACATGTAGTAACACATACATGTATTAACACATACATGTAGTGACACATACATGTAATAACACATACATGTACTAACACATACATGTATTAACACATACATGTATTAACACATACATGTATTAACACATACATGTATTTACACATATATATATTAACACATACATGCATTCTCACATACATGTCTTAACACGTACACGTTTTCACGGGTACACGTGTATGTGCATAAACTGGTACTTCTCATAACGGGCCGAGGGGTCATGTTAAACTGATGGTGAAATATGACACATTCTGATCAAGATATCCAAATGGAGTCATACTGCCGCACAACACATCACACACACACCCCCAGCACACATCACGCAGATGTTAAAAACTTTAAACCCTAAACACACACCTCCAGCACATCCCACGCAGATGGCATGCATCTCCTCACTGTCGACGTTGATGAGGTACTCTGACTGGACAAAGGGCGGCCCGGCGATGAACTCAGCCCCGGACATGTCTGTCTCCTCCTGCGGAAATAAATTGGGAATATGATTAGGATTAGGATTGGGACTAGGATGAGGATTGTGACTAGGATGAGATTTAGGATTGTGACTAGGCGACTAACGGTGCGCGACAGCCGGTTGGGATTTATTTAATTAAAAAAACAAAAACAAAAAATCAGTGTCACTGCCCTAAAAATCTATATGTAGTAGATGGCATTTAAATATTTATATATAGTAGACCGCAATTTAATATCTATATGTAGTAGATGGCATTTAAATGTCTATATATAGTAGATGGCATTTAAATGTCTATATATAGTAGATGGCATTTAAATGTTTATAGGTAGTAGATGGCTATAGATGGCATGGACAAGTGGTCCCCGGGGGTTCTCATCCGATGGCTTGCATGTGAGTGTGTGTTTATAAGAGATGTGCCGCAGTGTGCTGAGAGCAGTTCGCATTTATATCGATAGATAGTTAGTTAGTTACATAAACAGATAGATAGTTAGATAGATAGATAAATAGATAGATATATTGGTATATATATATATATATATATATACAAACATACATACATACATACATATATAAATACATATATATATACATACATCTATATATATATATATATATATATATATATATATATATATATATATATATATATATATATATATATGCAGTTGGTGACCATATGATAGACACCAGCCCATCTGGTTTGTACGTCTGCAGCTCGTGAGAGCATAGCTTCATGCGACAGACTCTTCAGTACAACACTGTTATATGATTCGACTACAGTATAGAGGGACAGGAAAGTAATATAGCGGGACGAGGATCTCTCCTGATGCGTCTCCTATGAAGCATTCACAGCCAGTCATGCCAGAAACACACCCCTTTCCTCTGCATTGATAGAGGACATACGGCAACCGGACGTTTCCACGCGTGTGTTGCTATGGTTACCACCCCGTTCCAAAAGGACACCCTAGAGTCTGGTAGTACCAACTCCCCCGAACTAATCGATACACATGCACACCTACGTACAAGCCCGAAGAACTTCACTATCTCAGAACACGTCCGAGTGCGGTGGCGTGTGCACCTCCTTGCCAGTGCGGCAAATGGGTCAATCCTCGGATGGACCATGAAATCGGAATACCAATAAGGACTAAAAGCACCCGTACACTTCTAAGGGATAAGAATACATCCGAAGACACACCGGGTCAGGATATAAAAATAGAACATACCTCAACTGTGAATAAACATTCCAAAGCCGGTAAGGGCGACGACTCCTCCAGTAGTGCCAGACAGCCAGCAATGCCAGCACCATCATCAGCTCCAAGTGTAGTATCCTGTGGGTAGCAACCAAGGCCAGGGGAGGTAAGAGACATTGGGCGGTGGGTGGTCAACGCCATACATGCACATCTTTACACATACAGTCTCTGTATATATATATATATATATATATATGTATATATGAATATATATATATATATATACATATATACGTGCATATTTTTACATAGAGAACATACTACCAACCTGTATATTTATATCTGCATGTATACATATGTGTACATCAAAATAGATACAGATATGAATATAGATAGAATATTCATAAAAACATACACACACACACACATATATATATACATATACATATACATATATATATATATATATATATATATATATACATATAGATATATATATAGATATATATATATATACATATACACGTATATATATATAAATATAGATATATATATACGCTTATATATACCTACAATTTAAACGGACAGCTCGGTACGTCATTGCATATGCACAAGTGTAAAAATACAGTCACTTACATAATCATTGCAATAAAAGATTAAAGATGAATCCCATACCCGTGCTTTTAACCATTCGCCATCGACGTACGCATCAATCGGACTGTTTTCGAAATCAAAGTCAATGTTTGCAGACGCCACCATATCGATGTGACACTGTGGGGTGTACATCGGAAACCTGTTAAGTGATCTCATTTTCGAGACAGCGTTCGGAATCAGAGCCAAATGCGTTCGGGAAGACAAGTTATGCTACCATATATACAATTCCAATATATGTCAAGTTTCGGCATATACGTTATGATCCCAAAACCGGATGTATGACGTGGCTGCCCATAACGGAAATGTCAATAGAATAATAGAGTGGGAACGTGTCACCATACCCATATAAATATAAGTAAGATCGGCTGTCTCTACTAAGCAAAAATATATATATATATATAAATATATATATATATATATATTTGCACACACGCACACGCACATACGCACACACACACACCAATATATATATATATATATATAAATTTATATATACCGAAGTTGCCAGCACAGGTTTATATATATATATATATCTATTGCGAAAGAAATTACCCAGGAAATATGACAACGGTATGAACCATCGACATCCTATACAAAGTGTCGCATTGTGGGACAGTCGCACACACGTGAGTGTATATAATTTGTATACAAAGTGTCGCATTGTGGGTATGCACTTTGCTGACAGGCACTCATCAGATGCACAGATGGCATACAGGTTACGGTACTGTAGAAAGGCTATAACTGTATAAATGAATTCATCAGTAATATCTCACCCACGCGTCAAATTAAAAGTAGGTGTACCAAAGATACATACTGTCGCTGGTACTGGAATAGAACCGACAGAGTTTCACATTGAATGACTACCTACAGCCACCGGCAATTCTCACTGTGTATACAGATGCAATGGCAAGGTGGACGATCACAAACCTACACACACACCTACAAAACACCGACACACACATACGCACACACCTACACAAAATCTTGCACACACACCTACACACACATACACACACACCTACAAACACACCTGTACACACACTGACGGCTTGTCTTCGAAGCCGGCCCCAGCGGGTTTACGAATCATCACATTCCCGATCTTGTCGACCTCACTCTCAAGGCCCAGATCTCTGAGCACATTGGAATAACAGCAGACGTTGAACGAACAACAAGCATACATTAGGAACGATGGCCCGATACTGCCAGCTGGAGCATGTCCGCAAACTTCTAGTGCATATCGTAGCAGACTGGCTAGGACCGAGGCATGCACGCTAAACCCTAAAACCCTAGAACCAATGCGCATGCACAGGTGAACACCCACACTCCAACACCCGGGACTGTCATACTCTGTCGTATAAAACTACGCACACACACTTCACTCATGCAGCCAGGTAGGTAGGCGAGCCACATACTTTGCCACCCCAAGCAACCGGGCGCGGATCTTATCCAGATGTCCAGAGGGTCGGGGGGTCTCCAAACACATCACCAAGTACTTCCAGAACAACGGCGACTCATCCACTGTAACAGCGAGTTGTTAATGTGAGTGATCTGTGCCCAAACGGCTCTGATAGAACTGGCTTCAGGCAGGAAACATGAGAGGGTAAAAGCCCCATGGGCCCATCGAATCAGATAAAGGGCGTTGACTACATGGGGTGAACAGGTGGTTGGCATGACAACTGTGTATACGAATACAATAGAATACGTTGACCAGGGTGCAGACCATACGTAAGAACTCTTTGTATAGGTACGAGTAGCTTTTACTTCCACGTTTGTTTTCGAAGCAATAAGAAATTCAAAATGAAGCTAGGCTATCACAATATATATATATATATATATACAGACACAGACAGACAGACACAGACAGACACAGACACAGACACATTCACACAGACACAGACATATATATATTTATAT